AACAGGACATTTATTCATCTTTTGGCCAGCAGTCTAGGACAAAAAAAATTCCTCTTATGTCAGAGCAGTTTCATTTTGCTCAGCACCTTTGGTGAGTCGCTCTCACAAGACTCCCTGACACCCCAGTGTACTGCATCAGCTAAATCACGCTTACTCACAACCTCAGCAGTGCCTTCAAAGAACTCCACCAGACCTGTGAGACTGTTCTGACTCTTTCCTGGTACCCCAAACTGTCCATGAGTGCTTCAGTTTTCCTCTCCATGGTATTTACCAGAAAACTGGCTGGTATGAATGCCAGTCAAGCTTGTCCTGTTCTTTCCCACAAGTTTTCTGGAAGCCTTTTTAAAAACTGGCATCACCTCAGGCACCCTCAGCTTCACTGCTGCTGTGAACATTGTTATCTCACATGCCTTTAGCTAAAGGTGCAATATGCTTTGAGCTCTTTTAGATGTTAGTTATCTATTGGACCATTGACCATTCCATTTCTGATCATTTTGAAAGAACTCATGACAAGTTCCTCTGCCTTCTACAAATTACATATCAGGCTTTAACATGTTTTATTGTATATTTCATGTTTATTTTGCAGTAATTTCACCTTTTTAAAATTTTTGAACCTTTTTTTTTCCAGAGTATCTTTCTGTTCCCTACATTATGCTCAACTGTGCTAAATATCCCTCAAAACTATTTTAAAGAGTCAGAGAAGCAGTTTTTAAGAAATATGCATTTTTTTCTGAGCTCTCCACAATGGCTGCAAGCATTTTATTCTCTTGACAGCTCCTCTTACCAGTCTGTCCACAGGAACCCTAATCAGTGTCCTGCTTGATACCTTCTCTATGGTAGATGTGGACTGTCAATGACTCACTGCAGCACGAAGCCATCACTCCCTGCAATTTTATATTCCACTTTTCCACATTTGCATAGAAACACTTCAATTTTGGTCTGCCTGCCTGTCCTCCTGTCTAAATAGGACCTAATTTTTCCAGCAGTCCTGGACTGTTCTCTAGATGACCTTCATCAACTTCTGCCCCACATACTTCACCCACCTTGACTTGTCAAGCCAGTGTCACCTTGACCTGCGTGCCTTTCCTGCTTTCCCTCATGCAGAACACTGGGATTGCACTGCAGACTGATGCTGCACAGCTCTTTATTCTTCACCTTTTATCCAGCAACTCATGTGCTGCTTCCAGCACTCTTTTGGTAGCCTTTATGTCACCAGCACTTCTCCACCTTGAGAAGACAGCCTGGACTCCTTTTGCTGTAAGCCACTTTGTGGTTGGAAGGTTACCAAATGCTCCCTTCCAGCACTGGTTGCACTCCACAGCAGGAGATGTCTCTGCATCACCTGGAACCAACACCATACAATGGAATTTTTAGAGCAAAAGGACACTTGGCCATCACCTGACAGCAAGGTCTCATCTACAGGATGAGGTTTTTTGGACGTAATTTCAGGGTCATTTCCCCTTTGCAGGATTGATGTTCTGATGCATTACAGCTGCTCATGGAGCCCCAGCAGCAGCTTCCCTGGAGACAGAGGTGGGAATACCTGCCTGGAGGTTTGCTTTACACATTTGCATGTTGTGACTTTCACAAGAGTTCAGTTGCATTAATCTGCAACGAGCATCTTGCAGCATCATAACTATCCCTTTGGTTTAACAGCTCCATTAATACTGTTGAGGGCAAGTAAATGCTTATTTTTTATTTTTTTCTAACTGGAGATCTGATATCAACCTCTAGCCTGAGAAGCCAAAGGGTTTAGGCTAAATGGCCTCAGACACTCCTTGTGTTTTAGGCTTACTCTCATTGTATTCCATTGAAATTTTCACTTTGTGTCTCTCCCTCCAGAGACTTTGATTCAGACTGTCCTCATCCTCCTGGGAGACAATGGTTTTCTAAAACTCTAAAACCATTCTAGTGGTTTTCTAAAAATCCATCTTTAATACTGGACTGGTCGGTGCTTGTGAAAGTGTAAAGTATTTATTTATTTTGTGAAATGTTAATAACTTCTCTGCCTTCCATTCAGCATCTTTAATCCATTCCTCAGGTTCCCACAAACCATTTTCAAGACAATCCTCTGAAAGTAAAGAGGAGTAAAAAAGTTTAATGTTTCTTGTGTAACACTCTGGTATCATTAACAGACATTTCCCATAACTGCTGGGCAATCATGCTTTATAATCTAACAGATCACAGCCACTTTATGATGGCATGAAAGGACTGATTGTGCAAGCCCTTAAACACTGCTTCCCTAAGACAACAGAACAAAACCAGCCACAAGTTTTAGCTCAAAACAGAAGCACAGACCTGTTTTTTAAGATGCAACCTCTTCTGCACTGTTGAGGGGAGCTGTACTGACAAACACACCCTTCACCAAATCAAAGAGTATTCTACATAACCAAGAATTGCTGATTCAAAGTGGGACCTCACGCGTTTAGATTCCAAATTTAGATTTCTTACTATGAATTCTACTTTCAATTACACCAAGTCTGCTGCATTTTGTTTGCTCTGATGTACACAGCTTTCGACACAAAAGCCTTGAGAGCTTCCACACACACACACACTGTGGCTGCTGTATTTATAGGCAAGATGCTCAAACATTTGCATTTTATTCTAAGGGATAAATTGTGCCACACAGTACAGAAAAATTCAATACTGATTCACAAAACAGGCCTGACTTTTCAGTTGATAGAAAATGGTTCCAGTTCCCTTTCCACCATCAAATCTAATTTAAAGTAACCCACTGTAGTGCAAATACATCAGATACTTAGTAATCTCCTGTAATGGCAGGGAAATTCATCACAAATTGCTGAATGTTATGAATCATCTTGTGAACACATAACTGCCATACACTGAAAAAGGCGCTTTAACAAGTGATTTCATTCATTTATGTCAATACTTCATAATTAGCTCAGAGAAGTGTCTGTAAATTGAACTCTTGAGCATCACACTGCTTAGTTACCATTTTTTTAAAAATATTTTCAGCTCTTGATGTAATGGAAGACCCCATTAAAATTTTGTGCCAATGACAAATGAGATTTTCATTTTCTCTTCTAAATGTGTTAGCACAAGCTAATTACCTCAATGTTTAACAAAGCCATAAGCATATGCTGACCTGTACTACATAAACAGTTCAACTGACTTTATCAGGGATATTAATGCAAGTTTTTGATGGATATTTAAACCCTGTTGCTCAATAACATATAATAATAAAAGAACTGCTGGTTTATATGGAAGTTAGTGCTGATGCTCACTCAGAAGTAACAGCTGACAAGAAAAACATGACAGCCAGATGCTTAGAAGAGCTCTCTTCTGCACACCAGCCTGAAGACCTAGATTTAGCCACCTTTTCATTTGTAATTTAAGAACTTTGAAAGCTTTGTAGGGTATTCTATCCAAGGCACACAGTATTTTGAAAGCACTATGATGTACCCAAAACCAGAGATCAGGGTCCCACTATTCCCCAACAGACTCAGGTTTTCTACAGTGACATTACAATTTCAGGGCTTGAGTGCCCAACAAAGCCACACCTGAACTATGGTTTGCTGGTCACTGCTTTAAGCGCTGGGTGGAAATAATTAATCATTTCTACTTGGATTCCATAATCTCAAGATGCCAAGTCACTATAATTTAACAGTTTATTGGTGACAGCTGGTTGGCTGTACCTGTGGGGTGCACAGCCTTAGCCCATTTTAACAGCAAAATAAATCATTCTCTTTGAAACTGGGCATAACTCAAGCCATGCCCACGGCCAGTTCCTGCCTTCCAGAGGGGCTGACACAAGGTGACTTGGTCATCCATGGGAATTTGCAGCAGAACTGCATTCTCTCAGGAGCAGCTGAAAGGTTTAGACAAACTGCTCTCCTAGACCAGAAAAGGAAGTGCAAGACTATAAATATATCCATGATCACAGTGATAATTCCACTTTGACGCTTCTTACCAGGATAACTTCCCACTCATCAGTGCTAAAAAATCCTCAAGCCCCAGCTTTGAGTTTGTCTCATCCTCCATGGCTTCTTCCCAGGAATCCAGGAATGCAGACCCATGGACTAATTTCCACAGGCTGTACACACCAAGGTAAATATGCAAGGAAAGCTTTGCCTCACTCTAATGCTGCTAATTAATGACCAAATAATTATTAAAATAATCTAGTGTTTCCCTGTGCTTTGAAATAGGAGACCTAATCTTGAGCTCTTGTCACATACTGCTCATTTTTACTTTTATTTCTTAATTGAAAACAGCGTTGTCTTTTTTTTTTTCTTAATTTTACAAGATTTAACACTTAACAAGGTATACATATCTCCCCTGGAAACTTATTTGAAATTACATGTAATTCTTAATTACATCTCCTGAATTCTGCAATTTTCCTCACACTTTCAATCCTTCAGTGCTTGTTAAAAAACTTTACTGATAAGACATCCAAAACATCCAGACATGCAAACTTGCAAACATGCAAACTTGCATCTAAAGTTTCTCCTTTTCAAGGATATCCAGGCCTGTAACTGCTGAGAGGTTTATAAATATAAAATAAATATATTTAAAGGGATTTAAAAAAAAACCACCACACACACACAAAAAAAAAAAAAAAAAAAAAAAAAAAAAAAAAAAAAAAAAAAAAGAAAACCACCCAAAAATTAATCATAATGGTAACTGACGTATAAAATAGCTATTAGAAACTGTTCAACAACAACAACCACAACAAAAAAAAAAAAAAAAAAAAAAAAAAGAAAACCACCCAAAAAACTTTAGGCCAGTTAGTGTTCCAATTCTCAACAGTTAGAATAAACCATCAAAAGTAGGAAAATCCCACTTCTCCTTCCATACCTCCTTCAAAGTATTTTTTCTCCTTTCAGTAGTCAAATATAGATTTTTCCATGACATTTTGATTAGGCTCTTACTGTGAACACATTAAGTGATAATTGGTCCAAAAATACTTATTGAGCCAGGAATATCAGAATACAGTAAATACCAGGAGCACCATAGGCAGCTGTATGAATCACTTCACATACCTGTGGTTTTCCAGGTTCCTGTGCTTAGTCATGAGTACACTCTTCATATTCTCGTACACAGAACACAATTTCTGCCAATTTTTGTTCTTGGCTTCTACACTGCCACCTGTAGTCACACAAGAGAAATTAGCAATATTTTATGCTGCAAATCCTATTAGCACAATGTTTCAGCTCACTTGTTTTTCTAGACAAACACTCTAAAGCGTTCCCCTTTTGTAAAAGGTGCATTTCAATATTCAAATCAAGTTATTTGCATTTTTCCCTTTAATACATTTGAAGAAAAAAGAAAGAAGAATTACCACCAAACAATCCCAATTAATTTTAAACCAAGGGGACATTTAAAACTCTCAGATTCTTTGCAGATTTTTATTTTATCCTCTTGCTTGGTGGACACATCATAACCTTGACAGAGTAAAATGATTTCTGAAGTGGCAGTGCAAAAACATCTGCACTTAATTACTTGGTAAATACAAAAAACCTAATTGGATTTGTTCTTCCATCTGAAAAATGAACATAGTTTTACAGAAACACAATATCCATGCTCAGCTTAGTTACCTTATATAGGTTATAAGGAAATGTATGCAAATAAAAACTGCTAGTATTTGAAAGATTATCTCATAGAATTAGCAGCGATCTTGAACTTTTTTATACAATGAAAACAATTCCATTTATCCCAGGCTTACTGCACTTTGAGCAATATGCCACAGATCCTGCCAAATTAACAATTTACAACAAAATAAGACCTAAACACAGTATGCCCAGAGCCCTCGTGTTAATCCTTCCCTGAAAATGTGAAAAAAACAGACATTTAATGCCTTCCCAGAAAAACCAAAGCTTCTTGGTGCTCAGAACACGGGTTTCACCGAATAGCGAAGTTTCGGAGTACAAGCTCTGGGGGGGAAACCTGGCTTTTGCACGCACATGCCTTCTCCTTCCCTCCAGCTAAGGGCTGCTCACCATCCCTGGGAGCGGGCGCCCCAACGCTCCCACCACGCGTCTCCCGGGAAAAACGCTCCGGAGTCAGGAGCGGCCAGACCCAAACTCGTGTCCCCGCAGCACGGGAGGCTCCGGGCACCCGCACCCTGCGCTGCCCTACGGCGGCGACACCCGCAGAACACCTCACGCTGAATAGAATAGAAACCGAAAACAAACGCGATTTCCAAGAACAAGTTGGTCTTAGAAAAAGAAGAAGAAAAAAAAAACCAAAAGCCAACCAACCAAAAAAAAAAAAAAAAGCCCAAAACACCACAAACCCGAAGATGATATAATAAAGAAATAAAATTCCCAAGCGCCGGCGATGCTGCCCACGTCCCGACGCACACGTCCAGGTAACCCTCTCGCCTTCCCACCAGCGCCGGCCGCTCCCGGACGGGAGAGGCTCCGCGGGAGCCCCCCGGGACCCGGCCACCATCCCAGCCCGGCTGCGGCCGCCCAGGTGCGCCGGGCACCGCCCCGCTGCCCGCGGCCCCGCAGCCCCGAGCCAGCACACGGGCTCCGCTGGCTCCGCCGGGACGCTGCCGGGGCAGGGGGTCACGGCTCCGGCCGCGGCGGGGAGCGGGCGCTGCCCACCCACCTGCGCTGGCCGGGCCGGTGCCGCAGGATGAGGCGGCGGCTCCTCCTCGCCGGCGCGGCTCCGCCGCTCGCCCCGCTGCGCAGCCCGGGGGAGCCGCGCGTCCCGGTGCCGCCGCGCCGCCCGGGATTCCTGCGGGAGGGCGGGCGGGAGCGAGCGAGGGAGGCGGCTCATCGCTGGGCACAGCCTCCCGCTCCCCCGCCGGCTCAGCCTGCCTCCAGCCCCTCCAGGCACGTTCTGCCGCACGGCGCCCGGGCGGACCCGCAGCGCGCACCTCCGGCCCCTTCCCTTTTTATCGCGGGGCCGGGGCTCCCGCCGCCGCCGCCGCCGCCGCTCCCGGAGCCGCCCGCGGGCTCGGGCTGGGGCTCTGCGGAGGAAGGGAGGAGGTGGCGGTGACGCTCCCGCGGTGGCCGCGCTGCTCCAGCGGGGCCGCGTCCCACCTGTGCCCGCAGCCCCCGAGCGCCGCGGTGTTCGCCGCCCCCGCGGCGGGGAGGCGTTTGCCAGGCGCTGGAGGAGCTCCGAGTGCCTCCCCGCTCTGCCGCCCAAACGAACGAGGAGTCTTGGCCGCTGCAAATAATTTACGTGCTCAGGAACGTGCTGGAAGCCCAGTTGTTGATGGGTCTCTGACAGCTGGCGTTGAGGGATAACCTAGCGGGAGGCGGTAGGGTCTTAAAAATTTGAGTTGTGATGCCTAAAAAATTCGAGGAAAGCAGCAGGTAAATACAGAAAAGTGTTAGGAAAATGTCTGTGTTGTAACTAAAACTGCAGCTCAACTTGAGGTTGTGCACATGCCATCTGAGCTCTCGCACTGGTGGAAGAACAGCTCATCCTTATGAACACTTCTCACGTTCTCTGTCTTTTGCCTGGTGTATTTGCATCTTGGAAACATATGATGTATTGAAATTCTGGAGTTTGTATCTTTTTGTTCAAATGGGTGATGTTGGCATTGAAAGTGTGCCCTAGCACAACCCAGTAGAGGAGCGCTGGGAGGAGTTGGATGCATTGATGCAGCGTCACACCAACTGATACCATTTTCAAATTTGTCTACTCAAAATATACTACATTCATTCTTCCCACAGCAATAGACTTCACTTTGTTTAAGACAATCTTTACCTATCCCAAATGTTTTATTCTACTCCTAATATTTTGGGACCCAACCTTTTCAAGGTAAGCCAGAAATCCATGCAGTCATGTTACAAACTGTGATATCACCCTGTAGTCTAGACATATTAAGAAGTAAGCTACAAAAATAAAATAACTTTTTTTATCTAGTCTTCTGCAGAATTAAGGCTATTTTCAGTTCCTCTTCTTACGTCTCATAAGTGAGACGCCAGACTACCTGAATATTTAATGAGTAGTAAAACAGAAATCCGTAAAAGTAGCAAAAATAACACACATATTTTGATAGCAAAGTAGACAGGTCCTTATCTGAGAAAAGTTTGTACAGTTTAATTCCACTCGATTAATAAACAGCAATTACATCTAATCATATCTGCAGCCATTCCTAATGTAAAAATATCAAAATCAAACAAAACTTACACTAAAGAAAGTATAAATTAACCCAATAATGATGAGGATAAGAATTGATACAGGCATGTAGAAATTGTTTTTTTCATCTACTTCATCCAAGGAAACACTTCTGGTCTTTCTCTTCAAAACCTGACAACCTAGTGGCACACTGGTTCAATAATTCAGAAAACAACATTGAAAATGTTTGTGCCATAGCTCTCCTTAAAAAGGCATTTGTTAAACATACAGAACAAGCTTTTACAGCTGATAAGTAGTAAGTTTTATTTTTGTCCTCTTTCTTTTTAGCTTGTGGTACACGAGACAAAATTGTTAAGTTTTTCAGTTTTACCTCCTCACCTAAATTTCGATTAAATGCAACTATCAATATACCAAGATTTAGCAACTGGTGAATATCATATGAAATTCCATAGTTATCTGCAGTGAGCGCTGCCCATGACTTTGAGGACTGTGTCTCTTCAAACAGTACCTCAGCAACAGAAACCACATTGACATGCCTCCAGTGCAGAAGAACTCATTTTCCACTAAGCCCTTCATAAACATAATGTTTTGTCAACAGGTGTCTTTCCTATAACTGTTACAAATGTATTAAATGCTGGTAGCAAGTCCTTGTCTTTTCACTGAAGCACGGCCAGTGCACAGATTGTTCCCTCTGCAAAAGAAGTCATTGTTCCTTTCAGGTCTTACACAACACTGCTGTTAAATCTGGCCCATCACAGGAGAAATGCTCTCTCAATTCTTATTTTTAAACCAAGAAAATAAGCATTTGGTCACTTAATAATGACTATTAATCAGACACTATCATACTTGCCTTGAGTGTGTGAGATGAAGAGAATTAGATCAGTCATGCACAGACCCTTTCTTTCACCTCCACTCCTCTATACCACCCACCTCCCAAACAGTTCTGTCTTTTTTCTTCAGCAATTCAGGCTTGGAAGAATAAATTCCATTGTAACAATGATTCAGAGACAAACTGAAAGCCAAGTGAAATATTGTTCTCCCAAATCTGACAGGAAAACTTATAGGGTGGAAACACCCAGAAGATAAAACCCAGTTCTCTTATAATATGCTCCAGAAAGCATTACTTATCACTGTCCCCTCATTCCCAAAATATATACATCAACTAATGCGTTGCTGTAGTACTGAAAATTTCCAGTTTTCCAGATGATGAGGTGTGACTCAGTACTCCTACTGATACATCTCAATGCACCATCCATTTGTTTTATGTGCTGGTAAATCATCTCTCCCTTTCCTTCCACCAGAACTTACTAAGAACCCTCCTGTGTCTGCAGGTCTAATCTGCCACACCATGTCCTGCCCCGTCCATCTGAGACCAGAGCAGGTTAAAGCTCTTCTACTCCAGTATTTTTCTGGTCTAGCTCCTTGTTTCAGTTGCTACCAAGTGTGTTTAAGAACATGCAGGTCGTAATCTTAAACTTTTTAGGCTGGATTACACCTTTGTTTATTGTATAGGGAAGTCTGAGCAGTGGGCACAGAGATCCTTCACTCTGTGTCAAGAGAGTTTATAGAAACTACTTTGGAGAAAAGATGTTTTGTTTTCTACGCATGCAAAATCCTTTCTAAGAGTCAGTGAGGTGACAAAGCAAATTTTGATCCATTTTTAATCAAAATAATTACTTCAGTCTACTCTAAGGAAACCAGAATTTGGCATAATAAAGCCAACAGCTGGTCGAGGAAGAATAACAGTGTGGGCTCTTTGATGTTCACAGATGAACACCAACAATCAAAGACTGAGTTAGGATAGCACATGATGTTTCTGAGTAGTAGGAAGGAGTTAAAACTGTTTCATAAGCCCATTTATCAAGAACCAATTTTCTTATAGGAAAACCATCCATTGCCTGTAATAGCGGCAAAAAAATACCCTATAAAACATTTAGCATGCAAGAATATTGTGCTAATGAGAAATCTGTGTTAAACAGTCCTTAGGAACTATGCAAAATGTAGTGCAAGCAGCTGAAAAGTTATCCTAATTTCAGGGAGTCCTCTAGCCTCAATTTGCCATGTACACTGAACATCAGCACGGAGCAGGGAGGGTATTTTAATATCTTCAGCTTCTGTCAAAGCTCTGCAACATTCCCCAATGGACATCAGAGACAAAAACAGGCAGAGCTATGGAGTAAAAATACAGTTCTAGTTATAACTATTAATTTAGTTTTAACATCTGCTTAGAGACATTCATTAGCTTATTAGTGAGCACTGAAATTTACATCAGAGAAGTTCAGTGTTGGGGAGGAGAGTAAATGCCCTGACATGGGATTCAGAGGAGTAAAGGAAATGAGCTGGCAGTGGGAAGGAATTGCTCATGGTGGTAGTGGGAGATGTGTGGCCAGACCTCTGCAAGGGTAAGGAAATGTTATAATCCTGCACACTACATCTAAGCAAACACAACTACAAAGGCTCTGTCTCCAGCCAAGCCAGAAAATCCAGGAGGCAGCTGATCAGCTCCCCTAGAACAAGTTCTCCCTCGAAGAATCTGCTTTAGCTGAAATCACTGGGAATGAGTAACAGTTGCCTATAACAACAACCAATTTCCTCGCGTTACATCTTTCCTCCCCAGTTAAATTATCATCCTTCTAATAATAGGACCATCAAGAGCCTTTTTCTCCTTCTTTGGAAAAGAATAGCTGAGAGTTATGTTCAGTCATGAAATGTTAACAAAACCTGGACAGCATTTTAAGGCAATAGGCTGTTTCAATTTGATGGTGTTACAATCATTCCAAACTCCTTGTTTTGGAGTTACAAAATCTCCAACCATCAGGACAAGAAAATGAGATTTTCCTTCACATCAATTTATTCGTTACCAACTATTTCTGGTCTCTGCTCAATGAATATGATAATGCCAGCAACCATCTAACATGAGCAAAGTAAGGCTTAAGTGTCAATTCCATGGAAACACAATCATTTAAAGAAACTCTCCTGCTTCATCTACTGTGCTTTAAAGTATTTCCCTTGCCATCTCTGTAACAGGTTCATGATCAGTGCTGCTTGTTAACTAAAAACATAGAGTAGAATCAGTCTTATTCTTTAGGATGGTCTTCACCACTGGTCTGCCCAAACCCTTGCCATGTTCTTCTCCAAGGGGATTTCAGTAGATCTCAAGTCACTTTCTTCCCCCCTAAAGAATACATTGGTTTGCAGAAACCCTCTTCAAGAAGAAGCCAAAAAACAATACAGTTTACATTTCTATTCCAATACAGGTTAAAAAACCCTCTATTTTTCATCTAAAATAGAAGGGCTCTGTTCCTACAGACTGGGAAATCATTACAAATTTTTATCTGCTTTTAAATGGATTATAGCTAATATGCGCCTACAAATTAGATGTCCATGACCACATAACTACTGGGAAATTTGTCCCTTTTTGTCTACATCAACCATTGAAGCCATTCATTAATCTGTTTTCTAATGCAACCATTTCCCTGGACCAAACCTATTTAGAGACACCACTGGTTATTAAAAGCATCTGCAATAAAACTGACATGCATTTCTAAGAACCGCTGCGTAAATCAATATAATTTCTTAATTGGTTAACCAAATAGCTGCCACACTAATGAGTCACACAGAATCACAGAGAATCCACACAATCACTGGGTTGGAAGAGACCTTCAAGGTCATGGAGTCCAATCCAGCCCTAACACCTCGACTAGCAGAGTAACTGCAATTCTCTGCAAACATCTCTTTCTCCCTTATTACACTTCTTCAACCACTGCACAGCTGCACAGGAGGAAAAGTTCCAGTGCCCCTTTTTCTGCTCTCTGCAGTCATTTCACCTCATAACAGTTCAACACGTTGACTTTTCACTTTCCAGTAGTTTAGATCTCTTTAGAATATATTCTTAAAATTTTTTTGTAAGGGCTCTGTCTCTAACTACCCATGCAATATATACATTTTTAAAGTGAGGGGTTTATAACAGGAATGAATAGGATAATCAGATGACTGATTGCCTAAGGAAGAATTGTAGAATATCTTGGAAGGAAAGCACTGGAGCAATCACAAATTTTATATATGCAAGTGCCAAACCTAATTATGGGTCAATTTGATATAAATAAACTCCAAGATCTTTCCATGATAATACTCTGAACTCACAGATTGGGAAATTGAGTTAACTCCAATGCAGTGTTATCACTTCTGTGAGTACTAAACACTTATTGAAGAGACACCTTCCAAGATATGAGTATCTGATGCTCCTAAATGATAAGAATAAATACAAAACATTGAGCTAGACAATCTAATAGAACTCTTGCAGTTGGGGCTGCATTTCAAATGATAAAATACTGCCTCCTCACCAGCAATTGTTTCAGTTAGTGGAAAGAGTTTTGTCAAATATACAGTGTTTTGCCAAAAAGAAAAGGCACTGATACAGCTTCCTATCGTTTCCTACTGGGTAATTTGCCACTGTTTGAGGCAACACAGAATATATCTGAATTGTCTTCTCCCCTCTGTCAATTCAACATCATTTACTGGATTTTAAGTTTTAATGTAGCCCGTTCAAGAAGGGAGAGTCAGCCATGAAGTTCAGATTGTGACTTGAGTTACAGCTTCCCCACAGTCTGCTGAGTGAAGTACCTTTGGTTTAGGATCCTCTTTGGACTTCCTTTCTCCTAGTCACAGTCAGGACAGGGCACAGAGTAGGTGATAACTCCTATTTTGCTTCTGATCAGGTTGAGCCAGTGTTGCATTCCAATTCCCTGCTTACTTTGAGAGCTGCATCCATGAAGAAAATTGACAGAGCTATGGAAAATTGTATAGCAGTGCTACCTAAACAGAAGCTGGACTTCACATTTAAGAGGAGTGGCCCTTTGCCAATCATGGATTTTTTCTTTATTTCTCCATGCTGAAGGGGTGTATCTCAAATCTGTTAATACAGAGGTTATTCTTCATGTGAGTAATTTCATTCCTAGGTGTAATACAGGGTTGGAGTTACTTTCCTACCTGCATTTAATCATGGGCTCATATGCCCCCATTTACTTTACAGGTACACAAAAATATCAGGATGAATAAAATTCCCTACACGTGCTTCAGCATCTTTTTTCAACACTTCCACATGCTGAGTTTTCATTTGTTGTTAGCAATGACTGATTTTTAAGCAGGCTACAGTATGAGATGGAACATTTTATTGCCAATTATAAGATGAATTAATGATTCCTGAAAGCAGGTTGGCAAAGTTAGGAGGCACTAACCAATAACCTTTTCATCAAATAAGAAAATTAATCCACAGGGAAAAAAAAACAAAGCAAACAAAAAAAAAAAAAAAAAAAAAAAAAAGCCCAAAAAAAAAAAAAAAAAAGAAAAAGAAAAAAAAACCCTGAAAAACCCAGAAATTGCCCTCCTCTCCCTAAAACCCCAAAAAAAAAAAAAAAAAAAAACACCCCAAAAAAAAAAAAAAAAAAAAAACAAAAAAAAAAAAAAAACGCACAACCAAAAAACCCCTGAAAAAAACAAAAAAACAAACCAAAACAAAAAACCAAACCAAACCAAACCAAACCAAAAAACAACACAGGAAGAGCAAGAACTTGCAATTGCTCTTGCAAATTGCAAGTCTTAAAATCTTCAGGCTCTGTCCCTCTCCTGAGATTAATTTTCATAAAGGTTAAATCAATACCATCAAGGGAAAAAAATTAAGGCCAGACAAAGAATGAGACAAAAAATGCCATCACCATTTCTGTTTCTCAGAGTTGCTGTGGATCATCTGTTTATTGTCCCAGGCAGTGCAGAAGTGAGATTGTGGATGCCATGGGACTGTCTGCTCTGGGTCTGTTCTGGTCCCTTGACACAAAAGGAAGCCATTCCCCAAAGCCCCTGAGATATTACTGCAGTGAACTTTATTAATAACAACTAATAATGCACAAAGATGACCTGGTAAGGGACATGTACAAAGGAACTTAATGTCATCAGAATGAAGGATCATAACTGCCCTTTTTGGCTTCATACTCCATGAGACAGTTCAGGATCTGATTTCATGAGCCTGCTGCCATGCAGGGCTTTGGAAAATGTTGGAAATTCGGCATTTACTCATAAGGATTTCCTGAGAGAATCTTTTCTGTGGTCAAAACTCTCTGTTTTCCCAGAGTCACAGAGTGGTTGGGGTTGGAAGGGACATCTGGAGCCACGCTGCTGCTGGTAGATCCATCCTATGGATTATTTAAAAAAAAATTCTTGGACATGAGGGAAAATGTTAGTATTTACACTCAACAGATAAGAAGATTATGAAAAGCACTAACAACTTCAGCACAGAGAATTTTCAGGGAAATTAATGACTAGCCAAGGTTAATGGCCCTCAGCTTCACGTTGGCCCATCAACCCTCCCAGTCAGTCATTAATTCCCAGGAAATGCCTTGTGCCCTGATTGTTATTGCTTTAATACATTAAATTCAACTTAAAGACTTGACTTAATGTTTAGCCACTATAAAGTAAAATACAAGGAAATGTTCCCACTGGACATACTCACTGTCAAATATATTTTTGTTCACCTTTTTCTCCGTAGACATTTAAATAAAGGAATTGAATACCCATTTACCAATTTGCTTTGGTTTTACTACTCACAGTAGTACTCCAATCTTCTTTGTAATTTATTTTATATTTCATTAAAGATAGCTTATCTGAGTTCAAATTTGATTGAATGTGCCAAATATAAATTATTACATTTAACGATAAGATGAAGGAATTAAAATCTGATCAGAAGTAGTTCTGTTGTAGCTGATTAGTGCCATACTAATGAAAAATCTTACAGGAAAAAAAAGACACTATGGCTATTTACAATCTCCAGCTGAAAGTGAAAAATCAATTACTATTTTGGCCCCAAACCAATTGAAAGGTGGAAATGTGCTGGTGCCAGTTTTCCTTGTGAAATTTCTGCCATCATGACCTCCACCTCAGGGAAAAATGCTGTGGATAGGATGATGCCAGTCGTCCTTGTGAAATTTCTGCCACCATGACCTTCCCCACAGGGAAAAATGCTGTGGACAGGAATTTTTTCTGCCATGTTCTGATAAACCTGAGTTGGATTTAAATTTTTTTTAAAAGCCAAACCAAAAAAAGTCCCACTAGATGGATTTAGTGTGAATTCTGGTCTGAAATCATGGCTCCCAGCGATGCTGAAAATGTCCTGGCTTTTTCCTTGAGTCATTTTATATGTTGCTCATCACATATGCTTGGCCACGTATTTAAACACAGCCAGTTCATTTCCCTCCAACACGTGAAGAAAAAACTGCTTTCCTCAACATCACACTCAGACTGTCAGTGTTTCTGTTTCATTCACTGGCCGAATAATGTACTTCTTGCCATTGTGGGAAACAGTTGCACATGGGCTGAAAAGCCTATTCCTGAAACTTGCTTTAACATCTCACAGCCAAACCTCATTTCTGGTGCTGCTCCATTAGAGCCAACAGAGTTACGATGGGGATAAAGCTGACATTGTAATGTGCCCGTGTGCTAAGGTGAGGTTTGGTTTGATGTGCACATAAAAGCACATCAGAATCACCACTGGGTTCCTGTATTCAGTTTTCAGGAGTCTGGGAAACATCATGCAGTCACTGTCATGCATTGCTGAAGACAGTATTCACTTAAAAGTCCTTGGGATGTGAGATGATGCTAAGTCAGGCCAAAATATGAGATAAAAGCTGCTTATGAAGGGATTCAGGCTACTTAGTCTCTATTTTGACTGATACTCACTGGATGACTGATATTGTATAAGTCACCTTATCTCTGCATCAGTTTTGCCAGACTTAAAAATGAGAAATGCTCATAAAGTTAAAAAAAAAAAAAAAAAAAAAAAGTTACTGCCATTTTTCATTTGATCCTCCACACTAGCAAGCCTGCCGAGGCAATGCTTGTAGTGTAATTCTGGGCTTCAATCGATTCCCCCTTCCCTGGGATCAGGGGCTGGGAGGATGCAGGAATTGGAAGCACAGGGTGCAGATATCCATGGTCGTGTCTCATGGCTCCTCTGTTCATCCATGGTCAGCTTTGAGCTGGAGTGAGGAGGTCAGCCAGAACCACAGGGGTTCATGCTGGGCATCTCTTCACCCCACTGGCTGGATTGTTGACCTTGCACAGTAAGGAGCTGGCTGCAGTGATAATGTGGTTAAATCTCCCAAAAGGCCCAGCCCAGCCCTGGTGAAATGCACACAAAATCTAGGCAGGCTGTCCTCATCCCACCCCTGCAGAAGGGGAGCTACAAAAGAAAAGCTGGAAAAGAGAAAGAAGAGTGTCAGGCATCCTGAATGAAGAGGTTTAGCAGCCCCCTGACACCTCTGCACAGCTCTGCCTGCAGGTTTGGGGAGATCCATCCATCCTCTGGCTCCTGTGTGGATGGCACCTTCATAACTGCATTTAGAGCACTTAGACTGGCTGTGAGTCAGGGAGTAATTCCAGAGATGATGCACAAATGTGAGGTACCCTACAAAAAATCAGGGCAGAACTGCTCCAAATTTTCCATTCTTGAAACCAGAGTTTCTTGCCTTCTCCTGACGAAACCTTTGAGGTGTATTGGGTAATCTACCTGGGCATTGTCACTGCTGGTGTCAGCTTTACAAAACTGCCAGCTCTGCTTTGAATGTGCCACCTTCCCTCTCTCAGCTGGCTGCTCTTCCCACTCCTTCAGTGTCACCCTTGTCACCAGTGCCTTGCTGCACCAGGGGACATGGAAATTCCAGGGTGGAACTGGGGAGGGGCAGCGGCTCAGGGCAAAAAAAAGAGATGCAAATTCCTGTCTGTGTGTCTGTCACAGCCTGGCTCCCCTCAGCAGGTCCTGTGCCAGAGGCAGCAGCCTCACAGGGCTCTGGAGCAGGACAGAGCTCTGGCATGGCACGTGTGCGACAAGATGTGGAAGCAAAGGAAGTCTGGGAATAGAGAGTACAGGAGAGGAAGGGTGAGAAAGCTTCCAGTGAGTGTGGGGCAGGAGCTGACAACAGCAGGACGTGGGTCTCACCTGAAGAAATGCAGTGAGTGCAAGCAGCTGTCACAGCTCTCAGCACGTGAAATTGTTGAAATTGGCTTTCAGTGAGAAAAAGTGGGGCAGTACTGGGAACTAAACCATCCTTTCCAGCCTGTTTGGGGATGGAAGCAACCTTCCAGACACCGGGAGAGCAGGAGACCAGCACAGGGAGCTCTGCCCAGCTCCTCAGAGAGCCAGGGCGCTCTGTGTGGCTGTAAACTGACTCCATCCCTCCCAGTGGGGTGCTCAGGCCGAGGGCTAATGATGGTAATTGAAATGTCGACCTTAACAGTTTAATTGCACAGCCAACAAATATCATTCAGCTCTACAGCATTTTTACGTGTATAAAGAAATTGTTCAACTACCATGGTAGGTAGATGCAGAGTCAACCAATTGCTAGAGCTGCTACAGATCTTCACCTCAAGACCATGTCTGAATCAAGGTATTGCTTAGTTTGTGTTAAAAGATCCTCCATTTTCCTATAGATACCACTCATATAAACATTTCATAGCTGCTAATATTGTTTAGTCTCCCCTCAGCCAGCTGCAGAAGTATCTACATTTAATATGTTTTCAACAATTGGTCATTACTTATTAAAATATTATATAAGAAATTTTAATAATTTATCCTATAATAATTTACTTTATAATAATTTCTACAATATATTGAAATTTTCCTCAGTACAAATAATGGTGTCAAAACAGAGACTGAAACACAGAGGGACTCTGAGGTAAGTTGCATTGAATCTAATAAAAGCTAATGACAATAATAAACAAACAGCACAGCTACTCTCTGAAGGCACTGGATTGCATAAAGAACTATGAAAAAAAGCCATGTATGATGGCCTTTCTCGTAATTTTTCAGGTTCTCTTAATATCAGCCATGGCCATTGTGTTGCCAGGTTTTTCAAACAATACTACTGTGCCTAATTAAAGCACAGTCCTGGCTGATCCAAAACAATTTCTCAGATGATTTCTGAGGAAAATATTTCTGAGATTACTTCTCAGGAGCCACAGGGCACTACGACCACTCAGTCTCTGCCCATGGCAGGGAGGCTGGAACTGGAGGACCTTTAAGGTCCCTTCCAACCCACATCATTCTGTGATTATTCTCCTGCTTTGTGGGAGCAAACTCCGTGCCAGAGGTGTGAAACAATTCCAGGGCTTGTGGTGCACCACCAGTTTTGAAGCCAGGCCACTGTGATGTTCCCAAGGGTCTCATCTTCCGCATCTCACCGGGGACTTCCACTCTTTACCCCTCTTATCCCAACAGCTGTGCTGGGAGCTGATGGGCTGCAGGTGGGACTGGCTTCTCTTCTGTCTTCCTTTCTCTCAGGAAGGATATCACCAGCATGCAAGTCCTTTTTGCAAACATTTTGTTATTACAATTTGAAAACAACTACCACAACCCACTCATCCCTCCCCCCTTCAGCAGCACACCATCAGACACCTTTCACACACTCCCTCTCTCTTCATCCAGTCTAAGTTTTTCCAAAAGATCAAAAGCTGCTAAGACTGCTGGCCAAGTCATATTTTCCTCTTGTCAGCTAGTACTATTTTCTTAGCAGACACATAGGATTATAGCTGCCCCTTTATTTTGTTTTTTAGTTTTGGTTTTTTGTTTTGTTTTGATTTTGTTTTTTGCTTTTTGGGGTTTTTTTTTTTTTTGGTTTGTTTGTTTCAAATGAAACTTTGCTAAACACGGGCTGAAATTGTAAATAACTTGCTGGAAAGCTATAACAAGCAGTTCAAAAGAGCATTCTGGCAGTAAAATTATTTCTAGCCAATTACACTCTCTGTCTCTGTCTCTCTCTCATCATTGCCACTGCTCTTTAAGCAAGCTGCCTGTTACCATTTGAGCAGGAGCTCACAGAGCCCTTGATGTGGTTTCATGTGCTCCTTGCCCTCTAAGGACTCTACGTGCAGGTTTGTTTCATGCATCTCTCCTTAGGCTGGGTCACGCAACACCAGGGAGCTGCACAGCTCACCCAGAAGCCTAACACACATTTTTATGCAGTTTTGAATTATGTTTTTTAGCCTGCAGCCTATTACTCTTTGCCCACCTTTCTTAATATTAGTAATTAACCAACATCTAGGCGAGGGGTTTCTGGGGGTGTCGACACTGCACGGTTGAAATCTACCTTGGCAGATCATCCTGAACAGAGAGTTTGTCTTCTAGCATTCATTAAATGAAGGAAAAATAATTATAACACGTGCTCTTTCTAGGTGTCCAACACTCTCTTTGTTTACTTGGCTGGTTTATTTGGCCTCCTGAGCTTCTCCTCTGTGCCACAGCTCTGCCTGCAGCTCCCTCACGCTGTGCTGCACTTTGGCAAAATCCAGGTCTGACAGGGAAGCTCAGCCCACAGAGGCTGTGCATGGGGAGCCCACCTTCCTGGTGAAACTCAGCTCCATCCACAGCCTCTTTTCATATGTTCATATTTATACAAAGGCAGCCTTCATGCTCCTGACTCCATTTAATCTTCCACATTTCCCCTCCAAACAGCTCAGCTTCTTTTTATTCAAATCCTCCCCAGATTCACTTCCATTGTGCATTGTAGATGCAGTCCCTTGGCGTAATGAACTCCCTCACAGCTGTAGCAACTATTGTTGAATTGTCGGTTCCATTTAAAATGTCAGGATTAACTGTTACCCAGCTGGTCATCTGAGCAGGAAGAACATGGGCTCATTTGCTGTTGCCTGGTACATGGGAGACGTGAGAGATTTCTGCAGGGCAGCACCACGGCTTGGTGGGTTCAGAGTAAAAAACTCTGGTCTCTTCTTCCCTAATTAAATGCCACCTCTGCCCTACAAATATCTAAAAGAGAAAGCAAAAAATTGAGTCTAATTATAATTTTCCATTAGTAAGTCAAGGCCATGTTTTGTACAGAATAAAAAAGTTCATGCTTCAGTGCTAGAAATAGTTTGTTAATCAAAAATAAAGTGGCTGAGGCTCTCAAGCCTCAGAATCTGTGCTTTTTCAAAACAAACATTGCAGTTTCACAATACTTGCAACACAGCCTGATCAATGCTAGCACGCAGCTTCACGGATGGATCACTGGTGCTGGAACTGCTCCCCGTGGAAATTTTGATCCAGTTCTACTCAAAGTCCATAAAATGCATAGAGAATCAGTGTTTTGAAAGCAAATATTTCTGAAGCACAGACTTCTGGTTGAAAGAACATACTTGCTTGAAATGGATGGACTGATTTGACATTAAGATGTTACAGGCCCCCTGTATAAGTAAGTTCTACAAATCCTATCGTTTTATCCACTGTCAGTCTCACTTTAACATTTCCTCTCCTAGACAAGAGATCATGGCTTTGAGACTTTTGCCTCAATTAGTTTGCTTGCCAGTTTAAACACTTGTCCCAATTTAAGATAATTACGTTTCATTTAAAAATAAATTCACATAAAAAAGGCTCATTAGAATTGTTTGCAATCAATTTAAATAATTAGCCAAAGTTATTATAACATTTTAGACTGATGGTACTGCGTATGAGATCAATTTATCATTTCTTGATCATGGTTCAAAACATACATAAAATACCAAGAAATTGCAATCCAACCTTGAAAGCAAAAAATTGTATTTGTACAAATTGATCTGGAGGGGAATGCTGGGATTTGACTGCCTGAATTTGTTGCTGGGAACAATATCAGCCAGAAACCATTGTTGGGAACTCAGGTGTTGCTTGCTTTCACTTATTTTATGTAACACAAGAACCCAGAACAAATATTAGCCTGATATGAATGTGGGAGAGTCTTAAAGTCAAGAAGCCTCCAGTACTTCCAGTGAAAACATTATTTATGATCCTCTGGGAAGAGCAGCACCAGGTTGCATTCAGAAAAATGTCCAGTGAGAAATGTTGAGCTCAGACACCTCTGCAAATTACTAGAGACAATTTTGTATTTTGTAGGGCCAGGACAGCTTTTGCTGGTACATTGTCCCTGTGAAGGAATATAAATATTAGACTAAAAATAACACCAAAAACTAAAATGAAAGTTTCATATTTGTATACTTAAATGGAAATATAATTTCTTTGTGCATCCCTAAATGCATTCTGTTCTAACTGGCCTGAGAAGTGACACAGAGTAGATTGCTAAAATACCTATTTTCATGTATGCGTTTAAAATAGAAATTCTATTTCGTCTTCCCCTGTTTGTAAGACTTTAGAGGCTAAATAGGAATTGTAACTTTTAAGTAAATGCTCCTTTTGTTGTACTTCCAATGTCATGTTCTACTGGCTAGGAAGGAACACCCTTCACAATGATGTCGGGGTGCAGCAAATTCCATAATTTTTTATGCAATATTGGAAGGGCACAGACTGCCCTGCATTTTAGGGTACCAAAATTTCCTCTAAAAGATCTTTTCCAGATGTTTGTTTCTCTTGAAACTTTTTGTTTTCAAAATGTATCTTTCCAAGTCTGCTTGGATGTCTTTTGTTTTGTTTTAAGGAGAGTAAAAGTTGTCACATATTCTCATTATCAGGTGTGGGAAAGTTCTGTTAAATCTTGTCAGCAAGGCACATTTAAATTATAACTGATCCTCATTTCCTACCTCTTTGGAACACCAGGAAAACAGTGAAATTGACACTGAATTATTTTCTATTACTCCTTTCCTGATTCACCCAGTGACCTTCCCCTGATACCCAAAAGTATAAAATTCCCTGTATAAAATAAAAGTTTTATGCCTGGGTATTAATTTTGATTCGCAACTTCTCTATTCTCTCTTCTTCTGGACGAAGAGGATTAAATTCTCTTTCCATTTCATCCAGTTGCAAAACACCTGCCAAGGTCAACAGGGCCAGAATTTCACCCAGAAATTTCATTCCAGGCTGACTGTGAGGTTCCTGATGGTGATGGCACGTCCCCAGCTGGAGCTCTGCTGCACTTCAGAGCTCTGCAGGATCCCACTGGGATCACATCCAGAGGATGAAGGGCAGGGCATGCCCTCAAGTGGTTTTAGTTCTCTAACCAGTAAATGGACATAACTCAGGGGGGGTTTTACAGCAATAGCTATTGCAAATTCTCTCTGCTTTCCTTTAACCAGGCAGACCTAAATACAGATTATTATTATTATTATTACTATTATTATTATTATTATTATTATTATTGTTACTCTACTACTGCTATTATTTAACATGTAACTGTTTAAAATATACTTTTCCAAGTACAAAAATAAAGTACAAACACTAGCCTATCTGCTATGCCACATGTTTATGTCTTTTACTGCTCTTTAAGGAAAAAGGGGAGATGGACTAGTGTGATTTAGTTTTTTTACTGTAAGAAAGTGAAATTAAATATAACTATTGAAGAGTGGAATCCTGTGGTTTATATACAACTTGTATATGTATATTTCTAGTTATGCATCTATGTATATAAATAAATAAATAAATAAATAAATATATAAAGACAGACACTCGTGATTTGAGTTTGTCTAGCCAAATACTAAATTGCAGACTATCCCTCTGGAGACAAAGCTATTTTTTTGACCTTTTTTAGCTGAGGAGGATACAGCCTTCCCATGGCTATTGAACTGAGGAATGTAGCAGCAGTGTCAAGTCCGTGTCATGCCTCCATCATGGGACTTTGAGTGTCATTCAACCCACAAGAATAGCTCACTATATGCTCTACACAGAGAAAAAATAAATATAAATGTGACTCTACAGAATCAGTGGATTTAAAAATCTTTCTGTGTCAAAAATTCACTTTTGATGTCAGTCCAGCCAAGTATGGTCTCATGGTCATATGCCTCTCACAGTCAACTTCCACCTTGAGAGAGTCATGAAACCCTGCTGAAAATGAGACATTCTGTGGTGTAAGAGTGCATTCACAACTGAGGCCGAGCATTGTCAGAGCCATTATTTAGGATTTTTGAATTCTGAGAAAGCATCAATTCCTGTGCACCTCTATTCATACTTTGCCTAGGCACAGCAAAGTCCTTTTCAGGAGCCTCACTGCAGCCCAAAGGAATCTGAGCAGCACGGGGCAGCCCTTGGGTGTAGAGATGGACTTGTCATGTCCTGGGCTGTGATCCTCTTTTAGCTCTCCTTTCATCCACCAAGAGAGAGTGAACTGTATTTACAAATACCAGAATTAGCTGTACCATGTGATTAGTTAAGCCCTTTTTTAAAAACATGTGGGCTGGCCCCCTCTCCACCACAAGCCTTATAAATAACTTGCTTCCTGGCTGTTGTGTTGACAAACTGAGCTCCTTCCACCACCCCTGCCACCCCCGCCTTCTCCCTTCACCAACACATGCTACTTCTCCCAGGACTTCAAAGTTTATTTATCAAGTGTTTTTGAGGGGTGGGAGGTGAGCAGGAGGGAGGAATCAGATTGTTCCAAAAATCAAAATCATCAATTAAAACCAAGCCCTTTCTTGTTGCGTGTTGGGACACACAGGAACTAAGCCCTGACATAATTTGAAAGTAACACAAAAGTTAGCATGGAGTTGCTCAGGAAATCTTGAACTTCAGAAGTCCTGCAGGACTTTTCAGGTGGCACTGAGTGGACTGAAATCCACCCAGGTGCTGCACAGAGCCAGACACTTCCAGCCCTGTCCTGCTTATCTGGCTCAGTGATGATCACTCAAACTCCCATTCCCAGGCTTTATGATCTTACTTAAAGGCCAGCTAATGACTGGCCTCCTGAAAATCCCTCTCCAGGACCAATGATTTGATCTTCAGGACATTCAAAATTAAAATATCCCCCAATTTAAATGCAAAAGCCCAACTTTATAATGCATGCACAAACATAAAATACCTTCCAGTAAGTGCTTCACGTCCAGTGAGTTACGCACAAGGCTGAAGATTTTTTTAGGGGTTTTTTTCTGCCAGAGTAATCAGGATCCAGGAATAAGCAGCAAGAAGTTTCAAGTGACCCACCACAAGTGTGTTAAATGCATAAATTTAGAGGTAAGGGGTTATCTCTGTCTCTTCGGGAGTCTCCCAAATGCTGACTTGTTTTTTTACCTATACGAGGCATCTGATGTCACTCCTGTGTGTGGGTGGAAAATGCTGTACAAAGGTTAAACGAGTTCTTTCATCCTTGCTCATGAAAGTAGGCTCATATTGCATTTCCAGTAACCAAGTGCATTACTATAACAGGTTGGGGATTTAGTTTCTGCGTGCGTCTGTACCTCTGGTGACTAACTGGCCATGTGCTCTCACCACTCATGATGATGTTGCTTAAATTATTGCTTAATCTGAATGCTCTTTTGGCCAGAGTTTAGAAAGGTACTGCAGCCAACATTTCCTGCTATCAGTGAGCAGCCTTTCAGGCACAGCACCACACAACCTGCTCTGCAGGCTACAGAAATGAACTTTTTAGAAATAAAGTGTAAAGACTGCATCCCATAAAACAGCTTGTATCTTCAGCCAACTACCCAAACAGAAAAATGTCATTTAGTTTAAAGCAGGAGCACGCATTTTTGCATGTGAATACAGGAAAAATCCCACTGGTGGTAGCTTACAATTAAGAAAAATTTATGGATTTTGTTCAATGGAGGCCTGAAAGAACCTAGAATCACTGGAGTCGCCTCAGTGGGTATTATCCAATAGAACTATCCAAAAGACTTTGATAAAGTGGTTTTTTTTTCCCCAGGAAGGCTGTTCCACACATGGCAGCCCAGGATTCTGGAGAACCCCTCCTCATGGCTGGAATATTCAGGCCATGCACAAGTTGCACTCAGAGCTAGAGGCTGAGGAGATTTACGTGAGTCATTTTTTGCTCCCGTGCTGCAGCAGGGGAGGTGTATCAGCACAAAGATCATCAGAGCTACCTCAGGGAGGCTCTCAGCCTCCCACACTGCTGCCAGCTCCACCTGGGCCAGCCAGCTCAGAGGAGCTCAGAGGTGTCTGCACCAGCCCGGTGCCAGCTCTGCGCTGACAGCTGGAGCACAGCACAGCACAGAGGTGTGAGGTGAAGAGTAAGAACAAAAAACCCAGATTTCCTGGCAGAAACTGAGCTGGTGTCTTCTAGCAGGGCTACTGATGGAAATGAACCTGAGGAAGGGATGTGTGCTTATGTGGGAGCGTCTGCAGAACGCACCCGTGCAGAATCACAGAGGTGTTTGAGTTGGAAAAGGCATCAGTCTCAACTGTTAACGCAGCACTTCCAGATCTACCACAAAACCAAGTCCCTCAGTGCCATGCTTACACCTTCATATAAAAATAATTAATATATTATATAGAAGACCAATTTTTGGTCTTTTAAATACCTTCAGGGTTGGTAACTCCACCACTTCCCTGGGCAGCCAGTTTCAATGCTTGACAATTGTTTCTGTGAAGACATATTTCCTAATAGCCAATCTAAACCTCTCCTTTCTTCTCTCATCCTCTAATTCTTTTCATGAGAGAAGAGACCAGTGCCTACTTGTTTAAAACCTCCTGTCAAGGAGTTTTAAAGAGTGATAAGGTCTCACCTGAGCTTCCCTTTATCCAGGATAAACACTCCCAGCTCCCTCAGCCACTGATCATGAGATTTGTACTCCATCCCCTTCCCCAGCTCCATTGCCCTTCTCTGGACACACTCCAGAGCCTCAAAGTCTTTATTGTTGTGAGGGCCAGAACTGAACACGTTATTGGCTGAAATTAAAGAAAAACATGGTGACAACCCTAACAATACCAGGTGAATGGCAGCTGAGTACATGCTGATAAGTGAGAAGCATTTACAATTAGTAAGAAGAATTTGGAAAGTCAAAGGCACTTTATTGACTTATGAACTGCTACACTCTGGAAAAGGCTTGGTTCACTCCTGATGACAGCTCTGCAGGAAAGCTTCTGTAGAGTGTGGAATCTGTGGGGGAAAAATGACAAATTGTGTATTATGAGGAATTGTGTATTATAATGGAAAACATTATAAACAGCATAATGTGATAGGTAAATGAATAATGCACTGCCAACAGGGACACTGTGTTCAGTTTTGGTCAGTGCTCTTAGAGGAGATAATGAAACAACAGAGGGGATTCAGAGAAAAATAATTAAAATAAATAGCGGAATGAAGAATTTTCTATGTGAAAAGATAAAAGGATTAGGTCCATTTAATTTAAAGACAAAATAAGAAGAAATATATTAGAGGTTTCAATATGATGAGTCTAATACAAATGAAATATCCTGTGCTCCTATTCAATGTTTCTCTCATTCAAAGGTGGAAACATTACATGATAAAAATCCATAAGGAGTGATAAAAGACAGCATTTTTTCTCACAACACCAGTACAAAACTGTTCTCTGAAATTCTTTGTTCTAGCAAAATTAAAATGGACTGAATGCATATGAAGAAAACTAGAATATGCAAATTCATAAAGTTCAAGAAATATTTTTCAAAAAGTTGTGAACACCATCTCTAGATTAAACAGATCCTGCTCTGATATCACACCAATTCCAGCATACATTCAGGAGAGGGAACAGAAAGCATGGGAGGGAGGGTGCTATGAAAATGTTTTTTCTATAACAAATGGCATTATGACTTTGGATATCTCATGCCCTGTTAATACTGGGCCTAAGTTGTTCATGAAGGCAAGATTCATCCTTTTCCAATGGAAAAGCTTCTGGCCCTGTCCTTGCACTTCTGTAAGCCAATGAACTTTAAACTCTGTATGTTTGTGTGTGGAAAACCCACTGCCAGTGCAGACCCAAATCATGCCTGCCCTGTGCCTCAGGCTGGGATAACACACAGGACAAAATCCACTTCTGGTGTGAAAGGGAAAAAAAAATATCAGCCTGACAAATTATTTAAAAGCAAATAATAGTACTGAGAGCTATTTGTAACTGGAAAAAAACTAACAAGTCCCAGCAGAGACAGACTGGCAGGCAGAGAGTGGAGAAAACATTGCAGAGCTAATTAATTTATTACATAAATCCATAGCTTAACAAGTGATTAGCACTCAATATAAATGCCATAAGCAAAAAAAAAAAAAAAAAAGGAACATTAGAGTTTTCAGGAGCATCAACCAGAATCCTTTTGGGGAGGGTAGGACCAGTGCAGTATTGAACCTTTAGGAATGAGTGGCTCATGACACTCTGCATGCAGTGGCCAGATTTTTCCAAAACCAGAAGCTCTTCCTTCTCCATACCTTAACAAGCCAACAAAACAAACGAAACCCCAAAAATCTCCAAGCCCACATGCAGTACAATGAGAGAGAGAGAGTAAAAAAAAAAAAAAAAAAAAAAAAAAAAAAAAATTAAACGCCCTGGTCTTCGTAACCCAGTTCCTCCTACATGCATTTCCCACAAACTGTCAACATCCCACAGGAATCTACCCACGTTACACATCACAGCACAATGCTCCCAACAAAGGCAGCTCAACCCATGATGTTCCAGGCAGCCTTTCAAACCGCCTTCAGTGTAAGCTCACCAGCTCTGTAATTAGGTGTTAAGTTTGATCAATCCGGGGATTTTTGCAGGCAGAGGATTCTTTGGCTGTTCAAATTGATTTATGCCTGCATGGTCTGGCTGGAAGGAACAAAGGTTTGTCCCATGAAGAGAATGAGACTTTCCATACTTCTAGTGAAGCAATTAAACATATGTTTGGGTTCATTCCTATTTAAAACAGCCTTCAGTCAAGCGTGGGGACCTCAGTGGTCCTGTCAGTTCCACGGAACTCAAACAGGCAAGTGACTGCTCCCCTAAACAGGATTTAATGTATAAACATCAATAATAATGTTAATAATCATCGTCATAACAACATCTGCTCTGTTTGGCTTTACATGACAACACCAGACTTCAGGAGGGAACTATGGTAAATTAAAAACACAGGTTCTTGCCATAAACAGAGCTGAGGAGACAGCACTGGGAATAACATTGATCCTTGCCAGTATGTTTTTCTTTGGTAGATGGCAGGGTATTGCAGGGTTAAAATGACCATTCAAAAATGCTTCTTTGGTGTGTGGTTAACTCTCAGCAAGTGAGTATTCCTACTGACCCTGAGAACTGAGGGGTGTGTCATGTTTCATTTTAGTCTCCAAAATCAGGGGTTAGGACAAAAGAAGGTGGAAAATATCATTTTATGACATCAGGAGGTAAAAGACAAAATGTAAGAGAAACTTATAGGGCCATGTAAGCAGCCAGCTCTCCAGAGGGCTGCACAGCATGTTTTCAGGTGTTTTACTGGTCATTACATTGGTATGTGTTGAGAGAGTTGCTGCTCATGACTCTTCTACTGCAAATTCTCTGCCCAGAATGGGAATAACAACAAATTTGGCAATCAATTCTTGAAGTTTCAGCACCAATCATGTCTGGCACAACTCACTAATCTAAACATGCATCTGCCTCTGTTTTCACCACACATACCTTAATTACCACAAAGCCTGATTTACATTGTTACCTCTCAGGTGCATTCGATGTCTTCCTGCAGCCCCTTTCAGCTTCCAGATGAACTTTGGATACACCATCAGCCAGACAACACATTGTGGCTCTTTGGTTTCCAGTGCTCTGTTACTGATATTCTGATATTCCTTTTTATTTTATTTTATTTTATTTTATTTTATTTTATTTTATTTTATTTTATTTTATTTTATTTTATTTTATTTTATTTTATTTTATTTTATTTTATTTTATTTTATTTTATTTTATTTTATTTTATTTTATTTTATTTTATTTTATTTTATTTTATTTACCTTCCTATAGCTTTCAGTTACCATTTATGAGAGCAGTACAGAGCCACGAGCATGCAGAGTTCAGTGGTGTTCAGGGCCAGCTGCCACACTGCAGGTGACTGTCCAACCACACTGTGATAAAGAACAACAGTTCTGCTTACTGTAGAAGAGTTTTCCAGATTAATTTTTGTTTTTATAAATCTAATTTTTGCTCATATTTTTCTTGTCTTTCTAAGAAAAATTACAGCAATTTATTACTGGTTAATTTTCTGAAGTAACTTTGTTTTTGCATTTGCATGTGGTACAACCAAAATCTTTGCATCTGCTGTGTATATGGGCAAGTATATAAATACAGATACATGCA